GGGTCTCAAGACCATTGTAAGGGTGATCATGGGAATTGGTTGCACGGGGAAGGCAAGGGCTGGACCTAAACGCTGTTTTGCTGGAATTCGGCTGTGTTTTGTTTTTCGTTTTGGGATGGAGATACAGGAAAGCAGGCAGAGCAAAACGGAACACAAAACGAAACCAAAACGAAAAACAACGTTTTGGGTCCAGCCGTGGGGACGACGAAACCGAGTTCTCGTTATGGCCCATATGAATTCACACGGGCAACATCTGATCATAGCACGCAGAGTGTTTTTTGTTTTGTGGTCGCGCCAAGTGCATTGTTATGCCAGCGCGCGGACCCGTAACGGTGAAATCGCGTAAACCTTTTTTGGTGGGGCCGTATCAGATGGGACCCTAGCCCCCAGCGAGTGGGTCCCCATCGGGTTCGAACCCGTCTGACCGGGACCCCATCGGGTCAGACCATCGGGTGGGACCTCATCAGGTCGCACCTTGTGGAGTGGGATTACCTTGTCGAGGAAGACCCCATCGGGTGGGACAAATTTCGGGTGGGATCCTTTGGGGTTGAGGTCCTCTAGGACACCACAGCCGGAGGATTGGAAATGATTCAATGCACGTGGATGGGTGAGAGGGGTATCATATGTGGAGCGCGCGCGAATCGAGGTTACCATTCCCCTACTCTCTCCTTCCTCCTCCTGTCCCGCTCCCTCCATCATTTCCTCGCTCGTTCTTCTTGCACCCCCCAATCAACCCTCCCTTTCCTTCACCCCGCCCCCACCCCCTACGCACTAGTGGCTGGCGAGAACAAGCGTTGCCAAGCGTTCGCGGATGAACGAACAGCTTCCCGAGCGCGGCCATTTGTCCACACGTGCTGAAGGAGGCGGGGTTGCCCACATGTCTTGCCCGACCGAAATTATGCACTGCTCCATCCCCGCGGCCCATCCCCCCTCGCCCGTTCTGTCTCTTCCATCCGTTCCTCTCCCTCGCCCCTCGCGTCCCTTCCTCTCTCCTGTCTCACCCCGTCCGCTGACCATCACGCCTCGCTCCGCCCCCTCTCCCCTCCCCCCCTCCTTCCTCCACCCCTTCTCCCCGTCGTCCCATCCCTCTCACTCCCCTCCTTCCTCCCCCCCACGCCCCCATTTCGCCTCTCCCCATCCTCCTCCCAGGGAAGAGGACGAGGCGGACGGGGGAGGGATGATGAGGACGAGAAAGAGGAGGGACGAGGTCGAAGACGGACAACGAGGGAGGAGGCAGGAGGACGAGGAGGAGAAAGAGGGAACATGGGGGAGAAGGAGGAGGCCGAGGACGAGGATATCGAGGAGAAGCGGGAAGAAAAGGCCAAGGCTGACGAAGAGGAGGAGGAGGAGGAGGAGGAGGAGGAGGAGGAGGAGGAGGAGCAGGAAGAGGAAGAGGAGGAGGAGGGGGCGCCGAGGCGGGGGAGGAGGCCGAAGAGGAGGCCGAGGAGGAGGGGGGGAACGACGACGACGACGACGACGACGAGGACTCCGCCCCGAGGTCGCCGCCCAGGAGCAGCGCTGGCTGGCGGAGGTCGCGGAGCGCGGCCGGGCCTGGGACCTCGAGCTCGCCGAGGCCGAGGCGGGCCTCGCCGCGGAGGGCCGCGGCCTGCGGCGCGAGGCGGCCGCCGCGCGCGGCAAGGCTCGGCCGCCGCTCGTCGTCGGCGTCGGCAGCGGCAGCGGCGTCGGCGTCGGCGTCGTCCTCGCCGTCGGCCTCGCCGTCGGCCTCGTCGGCGACCTCGTCGTCGACGTCCTCGTCGTCGTCGTCGTCGTCACTCGCCTCCCCCCCCCCCCCCCGCGAAGTCCAGGAGCTGCAGCACGTCGTCGACCTCGTCGTCGACCCCGTCGCAGACCTCGTCGCCGAGCCCGTCGCCGCCGCCGCCGCCGCCACGCCGCCGCCGCGGCCGCCGCTGTCCCCGCCGGCCGTGTGCGCCTCTTCTCCGCGAGGGTCAGCGCCAGAAATCAAGCAGTGGCGAAGCGTCCCGGCGTGCGTGTAGCGCTACCAAACAATGTTCTGAGAGCAGTGTTTGAACGCATGAGGCTTGTACTCTAAGAACAGTTTGTTTTGTCCTCAGGACATTGGCTTGGCATCGCTCGGACGTGTGCATTTTTCCTTCGGCGAGGACCATCGAGGAGCATCCTTGACCAATTGCCGAAAACACCACGCACGAAACCGAAAAAAGCGCAGGGAATGGACGTCCGAGCGATGGCGAGTTGGTGGGTTCTAAGAACATCTCGTGGCAGGACTGTGGGAATGCCGGGACGGCCGGCCCCTGCTCAACGAGAGTCCGCGGCATCCCCGGGGGGCTCCGTGGGCCGTGCCCGGGGGCTCCGCAGGAGGCCGGGCGCTGCACGGTGACCGCACGGCCGTCCGAGCGATGTGGCAAGCGCCTCGGCCTCCGCTTGGCATCGCTCGGACGTGTGCATTTTTCCTTCGGCGAGGACCATCGAGGAGCATCCTTGATCGTTTGGCGAAAAAAACCACGCACGAAACCGAAAAAAG